CCCGGCTTCGTCTCGTACACTTTGGACGTGTTGTCCGGAGAGGCCAGTCCCTGGAGAAGACCATCATGCCTGATAAAGTAGAGGGGCAGCAGAACAGAGGAAGGACCAAACAAGATGGACTGATCCATTGGCTGCAGCCATGGGCTCATGTGTAAGAGCAACGTTGAGGACAAGACAGGTCCAGGCAGTGTGTCCTTCAGTTGCACGTCGGGTCGCTGGGTCAGAACCGACTGGGTGACACCTAACAGCAACAATAACAGAGGAAACCCGGTTTGTTTTTAATGCTGGCTTCAATCTGGGCGCTTCTGCGAATGTTCAGCCTTTTCCATGCGATCTGATCTCTGGTTGTGTGACTGTGGTGTGTGTGTGGGGTAGTGGGTGAACTGTCGGGCTGCTGACTGCTAAGGTCAGTGGTTCAAATTCACCAGCTGCTCCTAAAGACAAAGCTGAAAATGTCATCTGCTCCCATAAAGGTTTGCATAGCCCCAAACCCGAGGTAGTAATTCTGTTCTGTCTTATAGGGTTTCTATGAGCCAAATTGACTCATTAGGAGTGGGTATGGCTTGGGTATTGTGTGGGTAGGGAAGGAATTTACCAGCAACATCATCTAAAACCTCCATGGAGATATGACACATACATTCTTCAATCAATCATTCCATATATTAATAAAACACATTGCTTGTCCATCTCACTGAACTATACGTATGTACTACTATGATTCAGATGCCTGGTTCTGACTCCCAGAAAACCCAAGGCCAGAGTAGAACTGCCCCATAGGGCTTCCAGATGCATCGAGAAGCAGATGGCCACTTCTCTCTCCTGTGGGACAGCTGGGGGGTTCTAACTGCCAGCCTTCGGTTAGCCGCTGAGCTTTGTAACACTGCACCCTCAGGCTCCTCGTCTTTCTGAGAGTCATTCAAAGGTAGGCTTTGTGGCAAGCATAGTAAGCAAGATAAAATACCTCCTAAAACACATAGAATATGAAAGAAGAGAGACACGGAACAAACCAGGATTTCAATGTTCATTTTCCAACCCCTTTACCAACGGCAAGGGGGTCTCATGCTTTTGATGTGTCACATGAAATGTCTTTCCAATGGTGCTGATCTCTATTTTTTTTT